ATTTAGGATTGCGTGCAACCAAGATGCAATCCTAAAAACAGGCACTTTTAGGAGTGTCTAACGAGACCCTGAGTCATCGCTGCACTAACTGTGGAAAACTGCTCTTGGTCCGGCGCTTCAAGAGGTGTCAGAAATGGCCCATCGAAAGTTTCCACAGTCCCCGTCTGCAGGAGCTGTTTTTTCAAACGAGGCCGATGGGTCCCTTCATCCGGTTTGCAAATTCGAAAGTTGGCCTCCGGTCTCGGTGGACAAATCGTCGCTGCCCTGTCCTGTAGTGTCTGTCCTACAATCGAGAATGCTCACGAGAGTCGAGAGTCCGGAGTAAGTGCAGCGACGACGGCACTTGATGTCAATCCATGAGACTCAGTCTGACAACGCTAGACGGACTCTTGAAATTTTTCATGTGGCTAGCATAGTGCAGTGAGGCCCAATGTGAGGTCTTTTCAAGAATTAGAAGAGGGAAAGAAAGACAAAAAAGAAGAAGAAGAAGAAGAAGAAGAAGAAGAAGAAGACGAAGAAGAAGAAGGAAAAGATGAAGAAGAAAAATAAGAGGTGAAAACAAGAAGAAAGCAAGCAAGTCTCCTGTTGAGTCTGTGTTGACTGTCTTAGGATCTGATCTGAATATTGGGATAATGTGCAAAATAACCCCATAAGTTGAGATATATGCCAAAATGCCCCTAAAAGATGTGGGTAGAGCCGAATACCCCTCTGACCAAAAACTATTTTGTGAAATACCCCTGGACCTCCATCTTTACAATATACCCCTCCATAGTACCGTCCACTTTGAAAAATGCCCCTGTACTTGCCAACTTTTCCAAGGCCTGATTTTTTTTTTTTTTTTCCCATATAGAAAATTACATAGGATATTGAAACAATTTGAGAATTTGCAGTACCGGGGCCACTACCAGGCCTTGGCTAGATTAAGAGATACAACAAACTACCGAAAATAGGCAAAAATTCAGGAAAAGACTCAGACCCCCCTCACTTCCTCATTACCTCACTCCGGCAAGTCTTACTGCAGCAGAGCCACCATCTCTGCTGCTGCTGTACCGTATTACCATCCTACCAGCTGGCCCCCTCACTAGTAGGACGCTTGATATGCAACCTTCTTCTCCCACTCACCTAGGCAAAGTTTCAGGAAACGTCTCAACCCCCCCATCCATCCTCTTTACCTCACTCCGGCAAGACTTACTGCAGCAGAGCCAACATCTCTGCTGCTGCCCCCTCACTAGTAGGACGCTTGATATGCAACCTTCTTCTCCCACTCACCTAGGCAAAGTTTCAGGAAACGTCTCAACCCCCCCATCCATCCTCTTTACCTCACTCCGGCAAGACTTACTGCAGCAGAGCCAACATCTCTGCTGCTGCTATACCCTATTTGCATCCTACCAGCTAGCCCCTTCACTGGTAGGACGCTTGATATCCCTCCATCTACTTCCAACACCAACCATCGTCGTTCTGACCCCAGATTTATGAATATAACAGCATCTCGAGACCACCAGAAGCAACTGAAAGACAATTTTGAAGGTTTGGGGTACCGGGGCCATTACCCGGCTTTGGCGAAGAAAAATTGGAGCCAGATTAAGAATTACTATTGCAGATGGTAAGAGGATAGAGTGCGAAAAGAGAAAAGAAACCAAAGCGCAAGCGCGCGGGGAGCGTACCGGTCGGCGGGCCCGGCGGTCTCGAGACCCAACGCCTTGGTGTTACCGAGGAAGACCGAACGCGTCGACGTCTATACCGGAGGTTGCTAGTGAGTCAACCAGCGATGGATTTGACTGAGAGGGCAGGTGAAGGTGCAGGCGAGAAGATGGCTTCTCGTAGTCAGCGTGAAGAAGGCGTCCTTGCGCAGAGATTACCGAACATGGCGAGTCCGGTGGAGACAAGCAGCAATCGACAAATGAAGCTGATCAATGGATTTCGCTCCTGGAGGCGGGTCGATGGCAATTGCAGGGTCTGGTGGATGCCTTATCCACAACAGCCAAAACCTGGCCAGAGGTCGATGGGGGAGCGGCCTCGGGACTGGAGCAATGGGTGAAGGACATGACTCAATCTATTATGGAGATCATCTGGGAAGCTGAGGAGGGTCCAGACCCGCGTTTGGACACTCTCATCAAATGGGGGCAAGTCGACATTTTGATGGAGAGATACTATGAGCTTTTCGACGAGGCTCAAGTCCAGCGAACTGCGTTGGAGAAGCGTGCACAAGAGGGGCGCGTTGAGTATGATGACAAGGGTCCACGTCAGACTGCGACGGCTGCGACAACGATTATAACAACGTCGGCTATTGATAAGGCGATGATTACATCAGCATCTAAGGCACTCACGACGATATCATCAGCAACATCGATCAGACCGATAGAGCCCGTGATTACGACACTGACATCTGCACACGACATCAATTTCAACAATAACGACTACACCGACTACAACAGCACTGTGCACGACGGTGGTATGGAAGGTGAGATCTTGAGGTCATGCGGGCTTGGGAGCGATAGCAACTACATCATCACCAATGAAGACATCGATACTGCCAGGGGAAACGACAATAACATAACAATGATAACAACAACATCGATGCTGTGGTAAGTGCGACAGGCTATTCTCTTTCCCACCCCCTGCCTCCCCTCTTGTCTTCCTTCTTGGAGTGGGGAGAGGGCCGTGGGGATAGGTTGATTGGTAAACTGGGAGGGGGTGTGCGGGGACAACGACTGGGCAACAAAATCCATGCTGTGGTGAGTGCGACAGGCTATTCTCTTTCCCACCCCCGGCCTCCCCTCTTGTCTTCCTTCTTTCGCTCATCCGGTGTTGAGTGGGGTGAGGGCCGTGGGGATTGGTTGATTGGTAAACTGGGAGGGGGTGTGCGGGGACAACGACTGGGGCGGTGGCGCGAAGGGGTCGGATAGTGAATGCCAGGATGCCAGATCGGATAGGGGTGCAGGTGTTAGGCTGGCTCTACCGAATCTGAATCTGGCCAAATGGCCATAGGGTGGGTAGTGAGGATAGGCGCCGGGGCTGTTTTGTATTCTGATTTGGCCTTTTGCCAATCTTTCCTACTCGAGCGCGCTTTGGGCCATGTGGTAGGGCAGGTGGTGTCGTGGGGATCGGCACTGGAGCTGTTTGGTTGAGTGTTTTGAGCCCTGCCACGTGGGTGTTACGATTTGTCCCTTATTTTTGTTTTGGATTTGTCTGCAATAGGGTTTTCCTCCACTACAGTGGTTTGTAGTGAATTACGATTGGAGGGGGAAACTCAATATAATTGCTGAGAAACTTGTATTGTGATTACGATCTGTCTGCAATAGGGCTTTCCTCCACTTGAGCGGCTTGTGGTTAAGTACGATCGTAGGGGGAAGCTCAATATAACAACTGAGAAACTGCAAAACTATCTCGCCCTGCAATCAAGTTCTATGCCCTATTTGAGTCTCCCCTACTCCTCACGGTACAGTGGAGCTTGATTCTGCATACAATGGGGTTAATCCTTCCCCATCTGGGGAAGCAATCAATGCCTCGGGATTATGCTACAGTCGTGTTAGGCAGGGAAGCTGTCTCCACGGGAGCAGTGGCTGAGGCTCTTCCAGCCCTATGGGAAGAGGCGTGGGTATACACTTGTAATCAAATTTGTAATTGGAGCCTTGGGCACTGGGCCCTCTTTCCAAAAAAAAAAAAAAAAAAGAATTACTATGGCAAAATTCAGAAAATAGGCAAGACTTCAGGAAGCCCCTCAGAAAACCCCATCCATCCTCTTTAGCTCACTCTGGCAAGACTTACTGCAGCAGAGCCACCATCCCCGCTGCTGTTGTACCCTATTTCCATCCTACCAGCAAGCCCCCTCACTAGTAGGACGCCTGTTATCCCACCATCTACTTCTCTTTTTTTTTTTTTTTTTTTTTTTTTTTWTTTAAAGGGGCCAAGTGTCCAAGGCTGATATTACCAATGAGAATGTTGAGGCCGGGGTCCTCACAGTCTACCCGGCGTGATCAAGACAAAACACTGCTGAGAACCGGGCTCAACGTCCCCCATATGATACTGCAGATGATCATGATGATAATGTCTAAAGATGTTTTATGCCGCTGTAGTAGATGGCTATGCTATATCAACTATTTCGGTCTCCAAAACCTGGGATAACACCTAGCCTTCCTTCCACCAGAGATTTTAATAGCTCAGAGACAATCTCAACCAAACCAAAGTCACCCATAGCTGATCCCTTCTCGCCACCAAGCAGCCCCCCCCGGTTCACCTCTGAAATGCCTTCCTCCCTCGGCAAAAAACAGATCTCTCTACAAGACCTCACGCTCCTGCAAATTCCAGGTTACAGGGCGAAACCCCAGCTCCGGGCAGCGTCGTTCTGGCATCGGCAAAACCAGGGGCACAGAACAAAACAACTATGCAGATATCAATCCGGACTCGACCCTCACTGAACTCCTCTGTCCCAGATATGCACGAAAGCTAGATGCTACCACAAATCCAGAACACCAAAGGCTTGATATAGCATAGAAAAGATAGAAAACATGAGCTATGAGAAGTAGACCACCGAGATCCTAAAGAGCTCAAAAAAAACTTCGAACTCCCTAACCGACCCCTCCGAACTTCCTCAAAATTGCCAGTTACTCTCTGCCGAGCTCTACCCAGCCTCACGCCCCCACTCTGCTGGGTTACAGGGTAATGCAACTCACCCCAGCTCCAGCCAGCGTCGTCCCTAAAGCAAACCTAGGTTGTCCCGTAAGATGCCCACCCCAAAGCATCCCCAGATCACTCCACTAGGCCTCAAGCTCCTGTATCAACAGATTACAGGGCAACACCCCGGCACCGGCCCGCGTCGTTCTGGTATCGAACAACCGCAGATCACCAAGTATAGCAACGTCGAAGTAACCCCGAAGGAGTTTATTAGAAGTCCCAGAATCCTAATCACTCTTAGGTCCCTCTGACAGAAAATTTAGTAAGAACTGCTCGAACAGCAGAATCCAGCCCTCCCTGCAACTGTTGAAGAAGACCACAGGTCTCGTGTTCAGTCCTCGATCCAACACACGGCTGATCTCATACCCTCCCACGGTGGAGTTACAGGACACTACGACATCTACTTCTCCCACTCACGTAAGCAAAATCTCAGAGAACGTTCCAGAACCCCCATCCATCCTCTTACCTCACTCTGGCAAGACTTACCGCAGCCGAGCCACCATCTCTGCTGCTGCTGTACCCTATTTCCATCCTACCAGCTAGCCGCCTCACTAGTAGGACGCTTGATATCCCACCATCTACTTCCAACACCAGCGACTTTCTGGCTTCAAACCACCACAGATCTATGAATATAACCGCATCAGAGAAGCCCACAGTGAATAGCAAGAACCCCCCAGAATCCTGAAGCGACCTCAAGACCACCAGAAGCGACTTACACAAATCAACTTACTCATGAAAAAAAAGACCCAAATGGGATTACCTGAAAGCCGATACAACCGAAAACATCAGGCCCAAATGCTATCAACAGACTATCCTACGGCTAGCTCAACCCACATATCCAAGATACCAGGCTCTAACAGGCCTCACAACCCCAACCGCTGGGTTACAGGGCGGCGCGACCCACCCCAGCTCCGACCCGCGTCGTCCTAATACCAGCTCGCGGTTAGCCACTGGACTGCCTTCCACCCTCGGCAGTTCCCCAGATCTCTCTACCAGGCCTCTAACCCCCGCATACTCAGGTTACATGGGAGGGCAAGGCCTGATTGCGAAGGGCCATGACCCAAACGGCGAGGTCCAGATTGCAAATTAGCCCACCGGCCTGACAGGGGCATAAGACACAGATTTCGGCCCAACCCACATCTTTCAGGGGCATTTTGGCATATATCTCAACTTCCGGGGATATTTTGCAAATTATCCTATATACTTTTAGTTGCTCCTATCTATTGGTGGGGAGCCGCACCTGCTGGAATCTGGGTCCAGCGTCCCATTATATACATCGAAAGATATGCGTCAAATGTCTGCCTGCCAGCATTGATTGCCCTGGCACCCAGGGAATTAACTGAGCAGGATGTAGAAAGGTTGGGGGAAAAGGAGGCCTCTTCTCCCTACTTCCACTAAGGCAAGGACCCCACTGCTGTGCGGATGGAAAAGACGTGTGGCCACAAGAAGTGGGGAAGTAGTTTCGTTTTTTTTTTTTTTTTTGGTCCGTTTTTGGAAAGTCGGAAAGTAATTTTTCCCGCAGAGGACCAAATGCGCATTTTGGAAATTTAAACCCTTTGGAAATCAGTTGAGCCAATCGTTGCCTGTTTCCATTGGCACTTATTTGTTTTGTTTTTTTTTTCCGTTTTTTTTTTTTTTTTTTTTTTTTTAAAATTTTCTGTGGCACTCTTCATCGTTATTGGCTGCTGCCTCCCGTGAGACTTTTCCAGGAGCGACATGCGCTCCCCACTAGTACCCTCTAGAGTCGGCACAAAATTGCGGCGAGGAATCCTCCTGTGAGACTTTTCCAGGCTGCGGACTATGTGAAAACACAAAACGATGTTTTTCCAAGCCACAATCTTCGGTCCCTGGGGTCTTGGAAAAGGGTTTGCGGAAGAAATTTCAACTTTTCCAGGACATTTGCGGCAGGCTGTGGGGTCCTGGAAACAGTTTTGCGGCAAAGTTTTTCCTTTCCGCGGTCCTGTGGGGTCCAGCCCTAAGGAATTGAATTTCCCGAAGGCCTTGTAAAAGGGCCTCACTCCCCGCACCGGACGTGAAAAGAAAACGGGACCCTACGTAACCGCTACGGTTGGATGTTTTACTAATTAAAAGTACCGGCAAAATCCTGTGGGCGCCACACACACGGACACGAGAGTTCGAGTTGAGGCCGTCACTTGGAGGACCGTTGGGTGGCACTGTGCGCGTCCCTCAGAGGGTATTGTGCAACAGCTACTGGTAATGTGTGGCAGCTACTGGTCGGAGTGCACGCGTGCGCGGGGTGAGCGCCGAAAGCTATGGTCAGGTTGCACAGGGCAATTACAGCTACCAGGCCCTTGCGCCAACTCTGCCCGCCGGGCGTTACGAACTCCGAATTTCTTTCTTTCTTTCTTTCTTTCTTTCTTTCTTTTCTTTTTTTTTTTTTCCCTCCAATCTATTCGTGGGGCAAATTTCTTTCTTCCTTTTTTATTTTATTTTATCTGGTTTGGCTTTGTCCTTTGGCACCGGGCCAATTGTTCTTGCCACACACCTATTGGACCATGGACATGTTCTGTTGGGAACACGGTTCTGGCTGCTACGGGGTTCCCTGTATGCCTACAATTAGGAGTAGACCAAATGTGGTAGGTAGGTAGTGTGAGGTGAAATTGAGAGAAGAATATAGCTTCAAAAATAATAATAATAATAATAGAAAACAGAAAATCCCTCCTTTTTTGGGGAAGGGTACAGGTTGCTTTTACTTGAGATTTCCCATAGAATTCCGCGGTGCCAGTCGCTCCCGAATACCCACGTTAGCATCCGCGTTTCCACATGACTCCGAAACAATCGGAGTGCCCTGGAAGCCGGGAGCATTGCGTGTTTGCCTGAAACTCACCGTTGTACTTCATGGGAGTACTGTGGGATCAGACCCTTATTCCTGCTGCTCAGAACTTTCGGCGAGAACACAAAGAGGGGTGGGCACAAAAAGCGAGAGAGAGAGAGAGAGAGAGAGAGAGAGAGAGAGAGAGAGAGAGAGAGAGAGAGAGAGAGAGAGAGAGAGAGAGAG